AAGCCCCCACCCCCTCTGCCAAGGGAGCAGATTCATGGCCTACCAAGACATATTTTCTATCTCAGGGTGGCAGGGCATAGCAATATTTTACTGGTAGGGTTTCAGAATTACTTTGGAATCCCTATTTGGTATGTTACAAGTAAAGAAAAAATTACTCTTGTTCGACCTAATTTTTCTCTAGTAGACAAAAATTTCCCCTTTGTTGAGGAAAATATCTTAAAGGATATCTTCATCATGAAATTTAAGGACTTCCAATGCAAGATCTAAATTGGAACTATTTAGAACTTAAAGATTTAAGGCTGGGTGCAGTGAGTCATGTGTGTAATCCCAGAACTTTGAGAGGCCAAGGCAGGCAGATCATTTGAGCCCAGGAGTTTGAGACCAGCCTTGTCAACACAGTGAAACACATCTCTACCAAAAATACAAAACATTAGCTGGGCATGGTGGCACACCCCTGTAATGCCAGCTGCTAGGGAGGCTGAGGCATGAGAATTGCTTGAACCTGGGATGTGGAGGTTGCAGTGACCTGATATGGTGCCATGCACTCCAGCCTGGATGACAGAGTGAGACTCTGTCTCAAAAAAAAAAAAAAGGTTTAGATTATTATGTACAGACTATTTAGATTATTATGTAGAGACTAACAATATACAAAGAATTTTTAGTCTCTCAGTACATTGGGTAGGATAGGAATTTGGAAGATTTTGGAACTGGGAAAAGAGAGATACAAACAAAAGATTATCTAAGTAGAGAAAACAATGGAGTTAGATGATAGCAGACAAGCTCCAGGTCAGGAGCAATGCTACTCACTGTCCGTGGAGTAGCCCTTGGGCTCTCCTGCCCATATGCATTTGGTCGTGCTAACCCCTTCCTTAAAGAGTTTTGCCGATCATTCTCCCACTCTCTCTTCTGTCTGAACTGTCAAAGTCCACCTCCTCTGGAAAGCCCTCCCCAGTTTACCTTACCTGTAAGTAATCTTGCCCTCGTATCTTACCTGCTCCTTGCTTGTTTACTATTATTCCCACAGTAGGGGGAATAGTATTCCCATAATACTACTATTCCCATAGTATTTTACTGACTCCTTGCTTAAGAGTTTAGTACTTGTTATCTTATAGAATGGATAAGAATTTCACCTATTAGGCTGCATATTCCTCATAGGCAGGTATTGTGTTGTCTTTTTGTTTCATTTCATATTTCTTGCTCTCATTTAGAACTCTTAGCACAGTGACGAGTCAATGAGCCACATGGTTCCATTTTCTCTTGGTTATCATAATTGTCAAAGAGGGCAATTATTCTGTTCTTCCTTATCTTCCTTTTTTTTTTTCCTTTTTCTGAATCGAGACCTGTCGAAATTCAATGACTTAACAAAATGCCTATGAATTTGGGGCTAAAACAATACTATTGTGTTAAAGATGTGGAGAGCTGGCAAAGGCTATGCCAACAAGAAGAACTTATCAATTTCTCCTCTGTGCACACTATCGCAGGCTTTTGTTTTCCCTATGTTTTCATTTGCATTTAAAGAAAAAGCAGGGAGAGATTTTAATGAGGCACTTGACTCCCAGAGAGGGCAAACAGAAGACATGAGTGTCTGGCTGAGGTTACTGTGTAGCCTACCCAGTTGACCCTCCTGGATAATGTGGAGCAAAGTCCTGTGTTTCCAAAGCACTCTTCTTTCAGGATATGGCCACAGTGGTGAGGGTGGCAATGGGCACATTTTCTGACATTGTTCTGATGGAAGAAATTAAAGTTAGATACATCTAACTCCTCAAAGGACCATGCAGAACTAGGATTCAGGCCTTTTAACCCCACTCAGTGGGTATATGACAGGGCTTTGGAAACTGTAACTGGGAAGAAAGTCTTTTCTCCTCCCATGAGAGGGACCAGGTCCCTAGTGAGAAACCCACATGTGCAATAATTGCCTTTCCTTAGAGACCACTTTAGCCATTGATTAGTGTCTTCTCCAAAGAGATTTGTGTTGGAGCCCACAAGAAGAGGCTGTCCCTGCCTGGAATTGAACAAAAACCAGAGTGAAGAATGCATCCTAATCAGATTTTGCAGATCTGGAAACCAAAAGAATAAAATGGCATCTTTGGCAGAAAAGAACTGGCTAGAAGGATCTTGAGGATGGTAGGGCTCAGGGATTGACTTTCAGTCCACAAGGCTATTATTGTCCCCATATTGATTCACACATTGTGTGTGCAAGTGTGTGAGGAATGTAGGAGGGCAGAGGACACTGTGGCTTCAAGATTTGCTTAGCATTATAACTGAGCAGGTCTGCGAGGGCAACAAGAACCACCGACTTCCTGATGCTCAGCACAATACTTTTGCCCCTACACCCTTAGGACTCCTCCAAGCAATGAGCAAGAAATGACCTTTTAGATATTAAGGAAAAATAGTGGGCAAAGAGAGAAAAGGAACTGCCAGGTAAAGATGTGGAATTCAGGTGAAGAAACTGAGCTGGTTTTCTTGGTTCTTGCCCATTCAGATCACCAGTTCCAATTTCCTTTAATTATCATTTTTTCCAATCGGTCAGTCTGACACAAGCATAGCTGCCAAAGTCTCATGCTTTAAAGATGATGATCCAGTGTCCTTTCTATCCTGTTGCACTACAACTCTGCCAAAGAACTTACTATTAGCTCAAAAGCCTCTATCAGCCTCCAGATATTAATAGACTGCAGGACTGGTATTTAAGTTTGTTTAATTAATGGTGGACACCTTCTGAATAGGGGCTGTTGGAATAGCCAGCTGGTGCAGTGAAATCTTGTTATAAGCTAAATAGAGCGTCTGTGTGCAATTTTGTTCCTAATGGCAGTTCCACCACTTATGAGCTCTGCAACCTTGGGAATGATACTTAAACCCTTTCTTTCTCAGTTCTATCTGTAAAACGAATATAAGAAAAGTTCCTGCTGCATGTAGTGGTTGTGAGGATTAAATGAGTTAATATAAAAATCATTTAGAATAGTTTTTATCGGTTTTATGTTATTAAGGGCAATATCGGTTTTTATAAAACTGTATTTGGAAAATGAAGAGGCTCTAATTAAGACAACAGCCATCTGTTAAGTAAGTACATTGTTAGGCTGAGGATAGAAGTGTGAACCCAAAAATGTCTTATGACCTTTGTGACTGTCAATTTTAGTGAGTTCTTAGACTTCAGGCATTTTCTGTTTTTAAACACTTTCACAAAAATAAAAGTAATCCGTTGAACATGTGTATAGCACATTTCCCTTTGCAAGATGCTTTATATATCATTTGGTAACTTTATTCCGTGAGAAAATATTAAGCCCTTACTATATGCTGAGCTCCAGGAGCACATGCTTTGACCAAGGAAGGCAGACAGGAAAGAGCTTTCCTGCAGAAAGTGCGATCTGGGCTGAGATCTGAACGTAGGGTAGGTAGGAGCTGACAAGGACTTGGAGGATGCAAAAGAGAAGGCATTTCAAGCAGAAAGGGTTTGTCCTTCTGAAAGTCAGAGATGTAGGAGAACCTGGGGGAGATTAGAGAAGGTGCCAATAATCCAGTACATCTGGAGAGAAGTGTGAGAGGGTGAGTTGTGGCTGTGGGTATGAGGATTTAGAAGGAAAAAAAGAGCGTGAAGAAATAAGCAGAGGAGATCTCACAGAGGGCATGTCCAACATGTGGGGAGTCTAACTAATATCCCATCCTAGATTACAGTATCCTTTGCACATTTTGATATAGCTAGAGGCAAATAATTTGAACATTTAGAGCATTAAAAATATAAATATTTAAGGTGATGGACATCTAATTACTCTGATTTGATCTTTACAAATTATATGGATGCATTAAATTATCATAAGTACCCTCCAAAAATATCCTCTCCGTGATGGGCACCATGGCAGCATTTCTAACAGGGGAATCAGATGTGATCAAATTAAAGTCTTAGAATTATCACTCTGATCATAGTGAGGAGAAAGAATTTGCAAGAAGCAAATATATAGACAGGGAGAATAGTTAGTTCCATGGCTGTTGTTCTAATCCAGATGAGAGTTGAAGAAGATTTGATATCAGGGAGGAGCTGAGGTCATGGCGAAAAAGGGACAGAATCCTGACACGGATATTCCCATGGTAGGCAAGAATCCATGTGTCAGCACTTAGTGGAGCAATAAGGAAGTTTTGGCTCCGAATGGCTCTGGCTTGCAGGGCTCACACAGCTACTTAGCAATAGAGGGAGAATGTGCACTCCTGTTCTGAGAATGTTTAACTGTATCTGTTTTCTTGACATGCTAAGATGGCTGTATGCCACAGGACTCCCTTGATGGCAGGAGCTAAGATCAGTCATCTCTGAAGCCCACATAGCACCTGGCAAATATACATATGGAGGGAGGGAGGGAGAGAGAGAGAGAGAGAGAGTGCTTGAGAGAGAGAGAGAGAGACAGGTTCTTGCTCTGTCACCCAGGCTGGAGTGCAGTGGTGCTATCTTGGCTCACTGCAGCCTTGACCTCCTAGGACCAAACAATTCTTATGCCTCCGTCTCCTGAGTAGCTGGGATTACAGGTATGCACAACCACACATGGCTAATTTTTTTTTGTATTTTTAGTAGAGACAGGGTTTTGCCATGTTGGCCAGGCTGGTCTGGAACTCCTGGGCTCAAATGATCCATCCACCTTACCTCCCAAAGTGCTGATGTTACAGATGTGAGCCACTGTGCCTGGCGTACCTGGCATATTTTCTCCATAGTACATGTTTAATAAATGTAAACTAGAAATACAGGCAAATCCTATTTGCAGCTTCCTAACTTGCTTTCTATTCT